AGGCTACAAATAATCCTGCTGAGTGAACTGCAAACAATCCCATGACTGAAGCCAGAATGAAGAGGAGTCCCAAATGTCCTGCTTTCTATGTTTTGGGTGAATATGCAACACCAGGGCCAATATATATAAAATAAAGATCATAACTGAGGTAGCTGCAATTGCAAAGCTTCAGGAGGCTTTACAGAAGACCTGAGATGTGTATTTTAAATACCTTTAAGAACATAAAGGAACAGAGGATGCAGGAGACAGAATAATAGAGTATATGTTACTCAAGCCACATAAAGGCACAGCTGGAGGTTTTTCTTAATAAAAATTGTAAAAAGTATAAGTTATCAAAGCAACTACCTAAAGTCTTATTAAACATGTTAATGTCATAGTGTTACTACCTCCAAGTATTGAGGAAGAGGTTTGCCACCCAGTTCATAAAGGAGAGGATATTTTTGGATAACAGCAAGACTCCAGCTTCTGGAGGAAAACTCTGAGAAGTTTGAAATCTGTGATAATATAAAGAGAATCTGCAAAAGTACATAAAGTGGAGATTTATTAATGATGGGTATGAAACTCTAGCTAAATGGCAATAGACTCTCCTTGGCATTGAACTGGTTTTGTTCCGTTCATAAACAGAGATCTTGATAATCTCATCAAAGAGAGCCCAAAGCTGTCAAACATGACTGAGAAGAAATCTAAAAAGGTTGTTTTTTTCTTTCATTGAGATGTTGTTTCATGGCAGAATTGTTCAGGATGAAATGTCAGCAAGAAGTATGAAATATTGTTGACTACCAGGTTAGAACAGGTCCTACACTGTCATATTGTGATGGACATCACTCTTTTCCCATTATTTTATTTTAAGGAGTTAATTTTCCAATTTTTTTGTAGTGAGTTAAGTTTAATAGATCATAACTTCTTAGGTAAAGTTGCTGAAAGTATTTCTGTAGAGAAGTTTGCAGTTGGAAAATGCATTTTCATGGGAATTAAGTGTTTTATCAAAATGTTAATATCAGTGCAATAATTTGAAGGAAAATAAAGGCAGTCAAAACAACACCGTATGTTTTGACTTGCTATGACTAAATATTCCATTCAAAGAGTATAAAAGACATTGATTTACATTTCTATTTTAATGGTTATATTTCATTCATACCTATTAGATGTTTAATGTCAGTATATTGAAAAAAGAAAATTAACTAACAAGATCTACTTCAATAAATATTTTTCTTTGCTTGTGTCAGGCAATAATAGTAAATCACATCCCATCTCTTTTATAGAAGAGCTAGTTCTCAGTATCCCTCAGTTTAAATATGAAATTTCTTGTGAGAAGGGACATTGTAAATGGGAAGAAGATGGTCTAAATAGCCTACCAAAGAGACTAGTGGACTTTTTGATTGATTTAGCCAGAAAGACTTAGTCCATAATTACTGGAAGGTAAGGAATTGTTCATGCACATACTAGGAATATTTGGCTGATTGTTAAAGATTTTTGTTACATCATAGAATCATACAATGGTTTGGGTTGGAAGGGGCCCTAAAAAAATTTAGTTCCAACCACCTTGCCATGGGTAGGGACACCTCCCACTAGTCCAGGTTGCTCAGAAGCCCCATCCAACCTGTCCCTGATATCACAGCACCTTAGAGGTCAGGACTTCTTTGAAGTTGTCTGTAAACAGTGGGGATTATCCATTTATTCTATCAGGTGCAACTTGTTTCCAAAACATAATTTGGTCTTCTTATTCCAGGAAACCTGTGTACTTATGAACATACCTGGGGGCAATATGGCTGTGTCTCTGAATTACTAAAATGATGCATGCCTTGAATTTTCATCAGTTTAATTTTGTCTTTCATAAAGAATGTGTCAATTATAACTTCTTTTAAAGTGAGTATTTAATTTGGCTAATTGACAGATGGCTGTACTATTTGTGATTTGGTCTGGTTTTTGTTCTGTCTCTGAAGGAACCAAGATCTCGATAACCTCATCAAAGTCAAGCCAAGTTCCTTCACAAGTGAAAAGGAGTAAGTCTTCAAAACTTCTCAGGCCCTGCTTTTCTAAGGGAGTGAGTAGTTTGTAACTATGAGAATGTCAGGAACGGTAATATTGTTTCTAGATTAATAAGTAGCATTGCAATTAATATAAAACAATTAGTATAAAAATGCAGATTAATTAGCTGGCATGTGCACTATTAGCTGAAGAAGTAATTTCTATGACAAGCTTCCATACATGCTATGTATGTTTCCTCAATAAAACTATTACAGAAGTATTTTAGCATAGTTACAGAATGGCCATTAAACAAAATATTGAAGAACTCATGGATGATAAGTCTTGCCCCAACCAGGTGTCACAAAGCACTTCAGCCAGCAAGGGCAGTGATCCATAAAGAACAACTTGAACTTAGATTTCTGAATAGCACATCAGTTCAGTGTGCTTCAGGCCAAGTTTCTTGTGGTCTGTAAGCAGCCCTTCAGCATACAGAAAGGGAGGAGCTGCCAAGGTACTGTACTAGTAAGAGCTGTGTAATATTTGTCACACCTAACATTGAAATTCTACAAATAATTTCAGTAATGGTGTTCTAAACAGTGGCACCACATAAATATTGCCAACATGTGATTATCTATTTTACAGTAGACAAACTCCCACACATGCTTACGTACATACATGTACAGGTAGCACCAACCAGTAAGTTGAGTGTGATTTTTTTTACAAACTTTAATTCACAGATAATTTATTACGATAGAGTCCAAGGCTTCGAGCCACTACTGAATTTTAGGAGGCATCTGAAGTTTTGAGATTAATAAGGCTATTGTGGATTGAAGTGACCAAGTTATCAGTTTTGCAGAGCTAACTTAGACTTTTGCTTTTGCTCCCTATTTCTACCTGAAGAGAAATAAAGGGTTTATATAAGAGTGCTTTTCACAGGTCATTTCATTCTCTAATTCACTGAAACACTTAAAATTAATTTTAAAAAAATCCAGAAGATAAAGTAGCCACTAGTTTAACTGTATTTATGAAATGAAAAGTATATTCCTTATTTCTAAGCTTTGTGAGCCTTTGGATGCTTACATTTTCAGTGTAAGTACAGACACAATCAATGTTTTACTTGTTAACTATGATGACACACAGTGCTAATTTCTTGTCCTTCCAGAAGCAAAAATATGTGGACATTTGGACATATTTTGGGTGTCACCTTGAGAAGCAGAAGTTTATTATTTTAAATACTTATTTATTTATGTATTTATTTATTTAATTAATTAGTGAGGCAAACAAAGACTAAGCTGCTTGGAGCCTGTAAATTAATACCAAGTTCTTTGAAAGTTGATGCTTCTCCTTCATTGTCTTTACTGGCAAAGAACAATTTTCACCTGTGGCATTGATATGATTTAACAAAGCCTTTTGATTTTTTGGCTGTACTGGATAATATTTTTATATAATTGTACAAAAATGTATCTCACTAGTAGAAAATTGCAGACATTTTCTTATTATGGTCAGTAACAACATTGTTTGCAAATTTTTAACATAAAATTAGCTAGCCATTTACTTTTTTCCTCTTAAATGTGTGCATAAATATATTTCTTTATTTTATTATACTTTACTTCTTCTCAGACAGGGGAAATATTTTAACAGTTGCATTTGTTTGTTGTTTCAGAGGAAAAGACCTCGAGGATGCTACTGAAAAAAACACTGCTGGTCAGAAAAATAACAGGCAAGGCTGTCATAATCTTTCCCTTATATACTTATAAAAAAAGTGCTTGGGTATTAGGATAGGTTCTGTTCTGTAAAAGTAAGCAGAGGAGGCAAAACTAAGATCTTTATTTGATTCACACAGTAGAATTTTAACTTTTAAAAATTTCTCATTAAATTCAGGCTAGTAAATACAAATAATTCAGTGTGGAAAAACACAGTTATTACTGGACTTTATCTTACTGGAACTTTAAGTAGTGCACAATCATCAACATTCTTTCAATAAATGTGCAATGTTCTATCAATCTAAAATTGGCCTTTAAAGAGAAAAGACTAGTATCATGAACAGATTTTTTAAATCTTCTCTTTTTCTTGGTATCATTATGCATTTTGGAATGAAAATAAGTATGGCAGTTTTAAAATCTTACAAAATTCTTCAACAGGTAACACTATTTTTTTTAATTAGAGACCATTTAATATAAAATATTAATATAAAATTACATTATTAGAGTATATAGATTATAAATTGTAATATATGAAATTCATTATATGACATCAGCTTTTTCACAGCTGGTGATTTACCAGTTACCAGTGTAAATGTGGTCATATGGTCCTAGAGACTGTATATACCCTAGATAACAGCATTTTTAAGAGTTGGGTATATTCACAAAGCAAATAACACACTTTGGTTGCCATTTCTATTGCTCATGGTGATGGTGCCTGTACTGAAGGAAATTATGTTATCAAGTTAAAATGATAGAGCCCTAGTAGAGCCATAGTCATTTTAGAAGATGGAGGCAAGCCCTTCACCTGTAGCATGGCAACACAATGCAACACAGCAGTCACAAATTAAGACTGGAGAGATTCAGGCTGGATAGGACTGTCCAGCAGTGGAGCAAGTTGAATGGAGAAGTTCTACAATCTCAGTCCTTGGAGGTTTTCAAGACCAAACATGAAAAAAGGCCTAAACCTCCTGGTCTGATCTCAGAGCTGCCCCTGCCTGGAGCAGGAGGTTGGACTATAAACCTCTTGAGGTCCCTGAATTCCAGCCTGAATTATCCTACACTACTATAGTGAACTTAGCACTTTTAAGTAGTTTCTCATTCTTTTGTTGTCACACTGGAGAGAAACTGAAAAATACTGAAGTTTGAACTGATAACTCCTAGTTCATAACTAGTTGAACACTTAAGATATGAAACACATACTCAGTGTAGACAGGAATCTTCCTTGTGAAATGCATGTAACTTTTCTTCTTCAGTATAAATAATTCAACCCATGTATTATGTTTAGGTTCTATAAAATAATTTGATTAATTCTGAGTCTCACTTTCACAGAGATGAAGACCTTGGTGATCACACAGAAGTAAAGTCTGCTGATGACCAAAGTAAAAAGCGGTGAGACTCAATTGACAGTTCTCTCTAAATTGTAAAGAGCCAATGTCAAGTCTTTTTAGGTACCATTCTGATGGTTTCTTCTTGAGGCTTCCATTTAGCTGTATATCTAAATTAAGAGAAAGAACTTAGCTGTCTGTCTCTAGAAGCAGTTTTGCTATTTTTTTAATACAAAATAATTTTACTCTAGCCATCCCACTTGACAGTCTGACCAGAGAAGCATATACTGAGTATCTACAGTGAATGAATTTCTCTTTTAGTTCTGAAAGGATCCTTGCCAGATTAGAAGTCAAACACAATAGGAGGTGCTACTTCATGCAGCATGCTGTGCATACAAAATAGTGACCAGCACTGAGCAAGGTTTGCTTAGCAAAGCTTCAGACCTTGGCAAACTCATCAAAATAAATCAAGCTGCAGCCCAAACATCAAAAGTTAAGGCTTATAATCATTGAGTTGTTTCAGAAAATAACCTTTGGCAGAACCAAACAAGAGCAGCCTTTGTCTGAGCTGCTTTGTACATTCATCAAAAACGTTATTAGCACTTATTCCTTAAATCCTATAATTTGTCTGACATGGTTTATTTTTACATTTGGTTGCATGTCATGTTTGTGGCAGGGAAAACTGCAGGAAACAAGGCTTGTTTTGCTTGAATTATAATCCTGCTTTTTGAAATTAGAGTCTATCTATCTGTTTAGCTGGTCATTTCTAATAAAAACAGAATTGTACTACATCCAAAGAAAGAAAATTTGGAATGAAAATGCAGTAAAAACAAGACTAAAATATTATAAAATACTACAAGTAAATGCAGAATGCTGACACACTACTGCACAGTTGAAAACCTCAGTGGGCACTTTGAGGAAACTAGAGTCCAAATAAAACTAGATGGGGTTTCTTATCTGAATATACCTACCAGCATAAACTGGAGGACTTAAAGCTATAGGTCAGTGATTCCATTCTTTTTCATGAGGACAATTTAACGACAGAAATAAAAAGATTAATTTATTTTACCTGCTGTTTCCAGCCCAGGCTTCTACATTTATGGCTCTAAGTGTAACTGAAAGCTGTGCAGCTGAAAATGATTTCTAAAAAGTATTTGTTTACTTATTGTGTGGTTTCTTTTTTCTTTTTTTTTTTTTTTTTTTAGGGTAACTGAGCAAGCATGTGAAAATCCTCCAAGGACTCCAAATAATCTCCCAGAAACAAACTATTCCAGTGACAGTGAAAGAAAGACCAGGTACTCCGGACAGTGAATCGAGAACCATCATTTATAAAGTGCCATTTCTTGCAAAAAAAGAAACTATCTTTATGCAAGAAATCTCAGGGATGTTTACAAACTTCACACTGGTCTCTGGAATCATGCCAGCCCCCTTCCAAATTCTGCTTCCAGAAGCCCACATATAGAAACCCACAAAGCACAGCTCTAGTGCATGGGGGTGAGGGGAAGGCACAAGACTTGCTGTCTATAGCACTTAGAGATGTAGCTGAGGCATGAAATTCAGGAGGGCAGTTAAGGCAGAATTCCTATGTAATCAATAGAGGAAAGGCATTTCCTGCATGTTAGATACACTGTGCTCCCAAGGAGCTTATTTCTTTCTGAGGCTGTAGCCAAACCACTACAGTCTCCACTCAAGTGCCTTGTTAAGTACCTAAAGCTGTATAGAATGAATCTGAACCCATGTATCATCTCTCACCTGATCACTGAAACTGTAATGTGGGTTTCTGACTTTTTGACCAGGTACAAACTATTTTAAAAACCATTTCTCTTGCAACACTTTTGCTCTAGCTGGATTCTGTCCCTACAAGCAGATGTATTGCATATCTGAGTGAAAAATCGGATGTAAGGATATTTAATAATTTCCTTTTACCAGCACCAGGTCTGTTGGTAACAGGAAACCATTGAAATAAAAGAAACAAAGTATTTTTCTTCACAGTAAGTTTATATTTTTGAGAAAGAAGAAAAAAGATAATATAGCATATAATTATTGAAAGAAAGAACTTTTTGGATTAGGAAAACCCTTCTTCAGTACCAACTCACCCATCCATGTGGATTAAATATATACTAATGTCGACATGACTGTTTAAAGACATAGTCCTATGTCTTAGGTGGTGTATTGCTGTATAGTAGTTGTGAGCTGCCTGAGTCAAGGCTGATGACTTGGAAGAGAGAAGAGGAATCTTCTGTTGAGCCTGACTAAAAGGGAAAAGCAGAGTCTGATACTTTAAGGGACCTATGGCCAACGTCCCAATCCTTAAGTTTAGGCACACCTGAGCCTTGATGTAGGTATGACTGGGCACAGGGTCTTTGATCTCTCATTTTCTTACATTTCACAGACTCACAGAATCACAGAATGTTAGTGATTTAGGGGACCCTGAAGACCAACTTAGCCAAACCCCCTTGTCGGAGCAGGATCCCTTAGAGTAGGTTACATAGGAACACATCCAGGTGGGTTTTGAAGTTCTCCAGAGAAGGAGATTCCACAATCTCTCTGGGCAGCCTGTTCCAGTGCCCTGTCACCCTCTCAGTGAACAAGGTTTTCCTCATGTTTATCTGGAACATTCTATGCTCCAGCTTGCACCTGTTGCTCCTTGTCCTATCATTGGACATCACTGAGAAGAGCCTGGCTCCATTTACTGTAGGAGATTGGAGAGCAGTTGAAATATGTGTATTCTGAAACTTCTGCACAGCCTTGAAGGCCAAGCCCATAAACTGGCTGAGAGTAAAAGGAAATTCAAACAGCATACAATATTAAGGCACAAAATGAATAATCAACACTAAAATTAATCAGCATTTTGCAGCATTTTGCAGACATACATCTTTTGAGGTGTAATATTCTGATTATTGTTGAAAACTAAACTAGAGAACAATAATACAAGAATTGTGGGGCAAAGAATGTACTTCAATATGCAATGTTCCCTTCCTGACACCTGACAAAATGCACACCCCCTACCTGAAGCTCCCATCACAATTTAATTAATGAAAGCTTACCAAATGAATGGCCTTTGAAGGTTATACTTCTAGGGTTTACTTCTACAGAATATTTATTGTTGACTAGTTTGCTGCAAAAGCAAGTCACACCATGGCAAGTAAAGGAGTGGGTGATAGGAACTTAAAAAAGGGACTTGATCAGATACACAGTTCTCAGTCTGCATTATGACTCAGTTTAAATGTAGTGTCTTGTCAAGCTGTCAGACTATGCATTTATTTGAAAATGTTCTCAGTTTCCTCACATTTTTAGTCAGCAAGAATAGAAACTGATGCTTCAGAAATATTTTTGCTGTAGCTTTAGAGGTTTTTTTTGTTCTGTAGAGTGCAACTTATTTTATAAGATGATGTTATATATATATATATATTAGTGCTTATTTCAACTATTATACTGTAGCCAGTTATTAAAATCCAAGGGACACTTCAGGAAAGCATTTTTCTCCAGACAGCTTTCTGTGAGATGAACAGTGCTGTTTTCAGGCATGCTGAATCTGAATACACATATTATGTTGAGGGTGCAATACAAAGTACTCACTTTGCCCTGATCTCAACCCTGATTTAAGTAGCTGATTTAAAATACCAGTCTCACTTGGCACTAGATTCTGAAGCTAAATATGATTTGGGAAAAATCAGCTTAACAACAAAAAGAAGCACAGACATGCCCACACTTTATACTAATAGAGAGGTGATATTCCTATGCCACTTCTCACTATAGCAAGACACTGTAAGTACTTGCACCAGCAATATAGTCCACCCTGTGACATGTCTTGTACACATGTACAGCTTGGCTGGGGCAAAAATTGCCAAAAAAACTCTTTCAAAAGGTGATCACTTAGCTTTGGTTTGCTTTCCTTCAGGAATTTTTTCCTAAGATTACTTTCATCTTGCCTAATATATAAACAGAGGACTGGGTGTTTAAAGAGATACTTTCTCTGTGGTGAGCAAACCCAAGTTTGCTACTGTACTATTAAATAACAAACATATTCTTGTGTCCTATGAAACATTTACCATTTAAGCTTTTTAGTAACTGCAATTTTAATACATTTCTGGTGTGGCACAGAAATCAGATAAGACATACACACACTACAAAAGAGAGGTATGTAGAAAAGTGGATCTGGGCTGTGTAACACCTCATCAAGTCTGCTTATAGAATCCCCTGAAAAAAACCCCAATATGTTCTGAAAATACATTATTACAAAAAACTGTTCCTAACATTGCTAAACATTATTCAAGAGTGATATGAAGCATGTAATATTTACCATCTGCCTTATGAATTTCTTGAGGAATAGGATAATTAAATCAGTTCAGATATGTTCAAAACATGTATGGCAAGATGACTTCTTCAGCTGTCACATACATGCTCATCCCTTCCATGCAAACAAAACTGACAGTTAAGCAACTAGAACTGTTAAAAAAGGAAAATTCAACTTTCTGGGTAGTTAAATTCAGTATATTCCTTTCTGCTGTGATACAAGGAACAATACAGTTACTGTAGTGATCACAAATCACACAATGAACAGCCTCACTCTTCTTTCAAAGTCACACTGCAATTTTGTTTGGCTCTTTGACAGCTCTTTGAGTGAAAGAAAGGGGAAAAAAAGGATAAAATCCAGTGTGTCATCACTTCCTGATATGTTTCATGTAGGCTGGGATAATCAGCCCAGGCAAACCCAATACCTTCATGTAGATTTTGCTCAATGGACTTGTGGATTTAATTCTGAAATGCTGAAGAATCATTCAACAACAGAACAGTCTAAGGATACTATATTCCTAATTTATTCTTTTCCAATTGATATATTTTTCTTGACGGTTGTTAAAATACAGAAAAAAGAACTCCACCAATTCTGATTTTTTTTTATGAGTGTGCTACTTTAATTTAATTTGCATATTATCATCAGTGTAATTAATCATTTAAAACTAATAAGTACCGTTTACTGACTGCTACACACTCCTTGCTTCACAGCAAGTCATCGTATGGTGCCTATGAAGAAAATTTAACTGGAAATACTATCAAAACTGTTTATTCTACTTCTGACCGGTAAGTACACATTAATAACATTGTAGGAGTAGCAAAGGACACAGACATTTTGCATAATCATTCAAGTGTTCAGACAACAGAGAGCAGTGGAAGTCACCATCAGGCTCGTTGGGCAGCTTTTCATACAGAGTTCCCATTCAGTGGGATCTTGTCATGAAATAATTTTCACAGTTCAGCAGCTTAATGTTATGTTAGGCTTTGTCACAGCTGACATTTCAAAATATCTACAGAAACAACAGACAGTGCCTTGAGTGATAGATATAGCTTTGTAATTCTGTAGGTTTCTACCTCGAGCAGCCGTTTATTCTACAAGATTTCCTTTCTTTGTGAGAATGTTGTCTGTAATGAACAACATCATCTGCAGATGTGGAGGAGTAGGTTCACATGACAATGTTGTTAAAAACTCTGTGTTTCACATTCTGGTTTTCACAACCACTTAAGATATCCCCAAATGTAAGAAAGATATTTGCTCCGTCAGTAATATCTTACCTCATAGGGAAACAGAATAATTAAATGTGCCCATTATTTTCAGTTCAGATAATTTGGACTGTCCCATTAATATTAGAATCATAGAATCATATAATATGCTCAGTTGGAAGGGACCCATCAGGATAATTGAATCCAACTCCTGTCCCTGTGTAGGGCACTCAAAGAATCACACCATGTGTCTGAGAAGCATCCAAACACTTCTTGCACTCAGGCAGGCTTGGTGCTGTGGCCACTTCCCTGGGGAGCTTGCTCCAGTGCTCAACCACCCTCTGGGTGAAAAAACATGTCCTGATGTCTAACCTAAATCCCACCTGATTTGGGGGGAAAATTTAATTGGAAATACTGAATCAGAAAGACTTCTATCCTTTCCAATGTAAGTACAAGGAACTCTGGGAATGATTAAATATTAGTACAATTATATATCAATGAGTAGAAAGGTGCAAGACCAGTCGATTTTGTAGTGCAAAACCAAACCAACAGTTGTATCTAGAGAAAGTACAGACTGATGTCACATAAGAATGCAAAATTACCTGAGAAAATTTTAAAAAATATTATTTTTTGAATACCAGGTAGGTTGTTCTATACATATGTTCACTATGACTCCTATGAAGGTACAACTCCTGTCTGCAAAGCAGAAAATTAGTAATGTTTTCAAGCATTTCTGTGACACAGAGGAGAATTCTATACCACACTATCAATTTACTTTTGTAATTAGAACTTTAAAATCTTTACACTCTACTTCATCCCCACTTAGTATACATGCTTCCACACATTCAGCAGCTTAATACAATCTCATTAAGGTTTGAAATAATTCCATTCATCAAAGACCATTCTTTCTATGAAGGTATTTTTGCTACGTGACAATTACACTCAGCAATTTGCCCATCACAGAAGCATGTATATTACACATGTCAACTAGAATGGAGGGCATATATACACGTGACACTCTTCCATCTGTGGTCATTGTACAGTATCCAAATGTCTTTCCCACATAATACACTAAGCTTATAAATGTTCTCCTTGAAATTTCAATGGTAGCTCTTTTTCTGACAGCTGATGTTGTATTATGTATACAGGAGTATAATTGGAAAAGATATATGTACATACTGCAGGAAGCCCTTGGGCATAGATGCCAAAATGATCTTAGATGCCTTGCAAATTTGCTGTCATTCGACCTGCTTCAAGGTAAGAAGATTTCACCTGCTAACAAAAAATACAGTTTGAATGTAATACCTGCATTGTATGACACACATAAGAGAACATTTAGGCCTTTAACCTTCTCCACCTGGGAGAAAAGGAAGACTTTGGCCTCTCTGGAGAAGATTAATGTAGGAAATTCTAGTTTCTCTCTCTTAGCCTTACACAATCCTTCCCTCTTTCCTGTTCTCTCTCTCCCTCTCCTCCTACTCTGCCTCTCCTGCATCTGCTTCTCTCTGCATCTCCCTCTCACAGGGAGGATAAAGGATGCAGCAGAACCTATCCTGAATGCCCTACACATTTATAAGCCTTCAGTTATACATGCTTCCAGTCTGATATAGTGAATTATATCCTACTTACACTTTCTTAATATAGTAATTTTTTTTTTCTATTTCTTTTTCTTATGAAGTTTTGTAGATGTTCATGATTAAATGACATCTCAAACACTAGTGGGTGCAGAAGGCATACTCAAAGCATTAGAAAGAGGTATTTAAGCCATAGAGATGAAATAATTTTACTTGCTGGCATCAAAGATTTGGTTAAAATTTGCATTTTATGGATAGTTTCTGCTGTAGGACAATATTGTGTTGAAACTGGGTATATCTTTGCCTCAGTCTTATTTATTTAAAACTATGTAATTTATTTATTTTTTACTGTTTCAAATAACAATGAAAGCACGGACGGAATTTTTTCTAGCTTGTCATCCCAAAGTCTAAATCTCAGCCTAAAACTGAATTTCAAACTTTTCTCAGGGTATGTCTACCAGTGCTCAGCCCTCTGGTCTGTTTTCTTTCTGCCTCATTTGTCTTAATTCTGCTTGCACCTCCACACAGAGTTTGTTGTTCTAACAAAGAATACTTGGCAAAATCACTGCATTAGTGTAGCTCATTTTTCTGCCCAGTCTTGCGTAGCTTTTGCTTCTGCTTCTGACAGCAGTTCTTTTACTTAGTTATTCCTTTAAAAGTATCCCAAAGCAGAAGACAGCAGTAAGGTTGTGTTTAACCTGTACAGAGTTTCATATGCTTTTTGTCTCACATACTTTGCTTCCATCCTTTTTAGATGGAATCACAGAAAGAGGAATGGACTTTTTTATGCAGTTAGGAGTGTTAACATGTTGGTACTGGATGAATTTCCTGTTAAATATCAAAGCTTACTTTAAAAATTTTGCTACCTGTTCCCAAGTGGGTACCTGTCTGGACAGCAAAATTCATCTTAAATTTTGTGGAATTGCAGATTTATGAAAGCACTGGCAAAAAAATTAAACAGCTCACATAAATCGACGTTCCATGCTTGTAGTTATGTATTTAGCTAAGTAGTGCAATTTCTCATCATTAATATTCATTTAGCTCCTTACAAATACCCTGTATCCATTAGAGATATGTGTGTAGCTGACAGTAGTGTAAGGTCTTTGTTTCTTTGTAAAGGTATATACCTAAAGTTCAGTGAGTAAATAACCCAGATTGTAGGGTTTTTTCTCTGTATAAAAATGCTAGTTAATCCTGGTGATCAAAGCTTTGAAAACATGCCCATCTGTTTGTTGATTTATATAAGTAAATATCAAGCAAGTGAAGAGAACAGATTGTTTTAATAGTACCTTAATACTAACAGCTATATCTAAAAAGGTATAGGAAAAAACATAGTTCTGTAAAACTGGGGGAAAAAAAATGTTCTGAAAACCTAGGGAAACAGTTGAGACTGAGGTATCTGACTTTTAGATGTCTAAAGGTGAGATATTTAGGTGTCTAATTTATTGTCCATTAAAACTACTCTTTTAGAGTTCTGATTTGATATTACAGTACTCATAACCCCTATTCTAATCTGGGATTCCTTACTCCCTAAGAGACAGCATGCTGGGAATTAATATTACAGAAGGGTTTAATTTTTATTTTTCTTGTTACTTTCACTTGTGCGTTGAAGTGTGAAGTGTGTAAAAGACCACTGGAAGATCTGAAAGCAGGAGACAGCATTTGGATTTACAGACAAACTGTGCATTGTGAGCCTTGCTATTCCAAAGTTAAAGGTAAGATGCAAGTTGCATTATTCTGAACATAAGAAAAACAATGCAAAGGACTTAATTCAAATAACTTCCATATACTGCAACAGAGCTATTGGTTTTGCTCATTTCTGTGTATTTAAACTTTTCAAAGTATTTAATTCAGCAAGACTGGGTTGCTTAGGATGGTATCCAGCCCCAGCTTCTAGACACAATAATTATTCTGTACCTGTAAGGGAGATCTTTCAAGGTCTCACTGTAACCTGTAGAGTACTTACCTGTTCAGGCAATGGAGGTACCAACAGTGAGGCAATGGCATCTTGCCCTGAAAGCCACAAGAACAAATTGCAAGGCCATCTGAGAAGCAGGTTATTATATTAAACTAATGAGCCAGGGTAAAGAAGTATTTTCATCTAACATAGGCATTGTGACTAATAAAGACAGAATACAAAATCTATTAAATGACAATGAAAATATTATACTGTGAGTACTGTTCCTACCTTAGTGAGGAGCACAGTGAGTGAATATAGGTAGAATCACAAAATCACAGAATGTTTGGAGTTGGAAGGGACCTTAAAGATCATCGAGTTCCAACACCCCTTCATGGGCAGGGACACCTCCCAGTAGAACAGGCTGCTCCGAGCCCCATCCAACCTGCCCTTGGACACCTCCAGGGATGGAGCCCCACAATATCTAGGGGCAGCCTGTTCCAGGGTCTCACCACTCTTAAACTCTTAAACCAGGGACTTCACCTGACTGCCATGACTTTTCAAATATCATGGAGGCAGTGAAGATCTTTCTTCCAGAAGTTGCTAGATTTTAAGTCTTCTCCCTTCACAGCAATTATTAATTCATACTACTATACACCAATACCTCTGTACCAAATAAAGACAAAGAGATATGTACATGAAATATTCTGATAAGATGGTGTTCACCTATGTACTTCTGAGATAAGATCATGTGAACTAGAATTATATTAATCCGTTTGTTTTTTTAAAATACTTTGTGTGTTACTATGTCATTGCAAAATTGGATGGTAAGAGTGAATTTTACAGTTAATCAGATTACAAAATTACTAAGGCATTATGAAAGTAGAAATAAATACAAAGGGTATGCATATTAAGCATTATAAATTCACATATCCTATTTCAGCAAATGGTGAGATAGGAGGGTCAAACTTCAGTAGACTTTCCAAAGAATTAAATTGCTCTAAAGTTTCCTTGTGTGATATTGATAGAATTCTGATTTGCTTGGCACTACTGATAAATCTTTTATCTCTTGCAGAAAAATGGATCTACTGATTTGGACATACAGAAAGCCTGATAAAGAAGTTCCACTAGCGTTCAGATAAATTTATATGCCTGTTAATTCAAACCACTATGGAAAATAATTAAATTTTATTGCTAGGAACAAATACTCTAAACGCAGTCCTACTGCAGAGTTCCCAGAGGAATTCCTTTAATGAGAATTTAGATGCATTTTCACACACACTTTCCAGGAAGAAAAACAAGATATTGCTCAGTATATTAATCAGATCTGTGCAACTGCTAAACTGCATGTAAAACTAATGATAATTTATTGAAGTTTTCTGAACAGCAGGACATACCTACCCATATGTTTTGAAGGGCTCTTTTTACTGGATCCACATCTCATCACATGTAAAGATGTGTTGTCTTTGTATAGCACGAAGAGGATTAGTCTTATCAAAGATTAGAAATTTAAAAGTCAGCTATTCAGTTTAAACTACTGTTTTCACACAGTGTGAGGTGGGTTCACTGTCTGTCTTTCAGGAGAGACATCAATCTCCAGAGGAAGATTCTTCCCAAGTAATTTAAATGCTAACTTTAATGTGGAACAAATGTATCTCTATTACAAAAATTGTTTGGAGGTTTTAATTAGATGTATGTGTATTTAAACTTTTCAAAGTATTTAATTCAGCAAGACTGGGTTGCTTAGGATGGTATCCAGCCCCAGCTTCTAGACACAATAATTATTCTGTACCTGTAAGGGAGATCTTTCAAGGTCTCACTGTAACCTGTAGAGTACTTACCTGTTCAGGCAATGGAGGTACCAACAGTGAGGCAATGGCATCTTGCCCTGAAAGCCACAAGAACAAATTGCAAGGCCATCTGAGAAGCAGGTTATTATATTAAACTAATGAGCCAGGGTAAAGAAGTATTTTCATCTAACATAGGCATTGTGACTAATAAAGACAGAATACAAAATCTATTAAATGACAATGAAAATATTATACTGTGAGTACTGTTCCTACCTTAGTGAGGAGCACAGTGAGTGAATATAGGTAGAATCACAAAATCACAGAATGTTTGGAGTTGGAAGGGACCTTAAAGATCATCGAGTTCCAACACCCCTTCATGGGCAGGGACACCTCCCAGTAGAACAGGCTGCTCCGAGCCCCATCCAACCTGCCCTTGGACACCTCCAGGGATGGAGCCCCACAATATCTAGGGGCAGCCTGTTCCAGGGTCTCACCACTCTTAAACTCTTAAACCAGGGACTTCACCTGACTGCCATGACTTTTCAAATATCATGGAGGCAGTGAAGATCTTTCTTCCAGAAGTTGCTAGATTTTAAGTCTTCTCCCTTCACAGCAATTATTAATTCATACTACTATACACCAATACCTCTGTACCAAATAAAGACAAAGAGATATGTACATGAAATATTCTGATAAGATGGTGTTCACCTATGTACTTCTGAGATAAGATCATGTGAACTAGAATTATATTAATCCGTTTGTTTTTTTAAAATACTTTGTGTGTTACTATGTCATTGCAAAATTGGATGGTAAGAGTGAATTTTACAGTTAATCAGATTACAAAATTACTAAGGCATTATGAAAGTAGAAATAAATACAAAGGGTATGCATATTAAGCATTATAAATTCACATATCCTATTTCAGCAAATGGTGAGATAGGAGGGTCAAACTTCAGTAGACTTTCCAAAGAATTAAATTGCTCTAAAGTTTCCTTGTGTGATATTGATAGAATTCTGATTTGCTTGGCACTACTGATAAATCTTTTATCTCTTGCAGAAAAATGGATCTACTGATTTGGACATACAGAAAGCCTGATAAAGAAGTTCCACTAGCGTTCAGATAAATTTATATGCCTGTTAATTCAAACCACTATGGAAAATAATTAAATTTTATTGCTAGGAACAAATACTCTAAACGCAGTCCTACTGCAGAGTTCCCAGAGGAATTCCTTTAATGAGAATTTAGATGCATTTTCACACACACTTTCCAGGAAGAAAAACAAGATATTGCTCAGTATATTAATCAGATCTGTGCAACTGCTAAACTGCATGTAAAACTAATGATAATTTATTGAAGTTTTCTGAACAGCAGGACATACCTACCCATATGTTTTGAAGGGCTCTTTTTACTGGATCCACATCTCATCACATGTAAAGATGTGTTGTCTTTGTATAGCACGAAGAGGATTAGTCTTATCAAAGATTAGAAATTTAAAAGTCAGCTATTCAGTTTAAACTACTGTTTTCACACAGTGTGAGGTGGGTTCACTGTCTGTCTTTCAGGAGAGACATCAATCTCCAGAGGAAGATTCTTCCCAAGTAATTTAAATGCTAACTTTAATGTGGAACAAATGTATCTCTATTACAAAAATTGTTTGGAGGTTTTAATTAGATGTATCCTAGTCCATGCTTGTAATTCTGGTAATAATTGTGTTTTCTTTTTTTGAAAGAAGTGCACACTTAAGAGTTGCCATGAAAATAATGAAATACATACTTTGCATGACAACTTGTAGTTTTATTTATCTTTCCTACTTTGTTAAGTTGACTGTCTAACACATTGGATGGATTCATCTCACCTGAATTTCAACATCTACGGAGTAGACATATACTTCTAAGTTACTTGATCTATTCTGTCTTTATAGTTCTGTAGAGAAGCAGACATTTTTAGGAAGTGATTGAGTTGGTCAAACTGCAAACACCTATTTTACCATTATGTTATCCATGCTCTGAACATATGTCTGACTTTCCACGGTTTGCAAAGGAATCTGAAGTGAATAGTCCAGATTTCTAGACATCTACACTAGGCCAGATAAACTCCTTCCTTTGAGACTACAGTGAAAGCATTTTTTTTTCCTTTTGGACAGCATATGTATATTCAAGTATAGAAACTGAAAGAGGAGTTCCTGCTTTGTTATAATACATTTCCACAACACTCAGTAGTTACCTACCTTATTTGCCTAAAGTACTAAACACTACTAGTGTTTGCCATGAGATGTTTTATATTGTGCTTAATCAGAACTAAGTTTTCTCCCTTACATCTCAGCTTAAAAGGACTTCTTGGATATGACCATGACATTGTCAGAGTGCTCGTAGGCTGCTGGACCTGACCAAGAACTTAGAAGTGTGAAAAGTGTCAAAGCCATAGATTAATATTAGATTGGTGAATGGCTGTCCCAGCCAAACTTTCTCTCCTCTTCTGTACATTCAGTAGTGGAGACAGGAGGTTTGGATGTCCGTGTAATTTAAACCTTTGGGCCTGCAGTTGAATAAGGATATAATCTGTCTTGCCTGGCTTAGATGACGTTCAAACTGATATGCAAAGGAGCCATGAAACAGTACAGAGTTTGTTTTGTTAATTTTTTTTTTCTTATTAATTAATGGCAGTATCTTTAATAAACCTATTATTATAAATATTTTTTCTGGTATGTGTTTCTTGTTCATGACATATTCTAGTTAAACCACACTTGCTATTACCCTGTGTTTCATCAGAAAACAATGAGACTTGCACAACAGGTGGAGGAGGTCACAAATTTGGTCCTGCTCATAGCCCAATCATTATTGCTAAGGCTCAGTAACAATGGAAGATGTTAGATGTTCACTTGAGTTTTTAGTTCACTTCACTGGAGACCAGGAGCAAACTTTGGATCCAAGTATCTCCCGCTTAAAAAAGCTCAGTGACAGAGAAGTAGCAGTAAGAAACAATAAAAAAATAAATCTGTGCTCATTAACTCCTTCTTGCTGAACAGTCCTGGTACTTCTGCCATGTGGGTTTTTGTTATTTTTTTATTATATGTTGTAAGTTTGATAAAAAGAAACATCGGTTTTCTGATGCTTGATATTTACCACATAAAAGCTGGGATGGCAGTACTCATTTAAAAAAATCCTATTAACATCTCAATACCAATGCATCAAAACTTAATTGTTTCTTGTCCTTTTTTGCATATCATTAGCACGTGGTGTTTTATTTCACTTTGACTAGTGCTTCCATGAGACAATCCAAATGAACCATTTGCTGGCAGCTGTTTTAATGAATGCGTTATCCTCAATAATGCATTAAATTAGAGTGAAAAGCTGTATTGAGAGATGAGGTACTAAATTATGTGGAGTTTTGTGATTCATCAGGCCCATTTTCTCTGTGTGTAAGGGATACGTTATTTTACAAAGCTGGGGCATAGCTCTACAGGGGGGAGAATCAAGCAATGAGAGGAAAGGAGTGAAAGAATGCATATAATTAATATTGATGCATTTAAATATGTAGATGGCTTCAAAGTTACTGATATTTACAAGAACAAGGAATGTCCCAAAAATTATTTTGCTATATTAATCTATTCTGTTGTATCCTGTGTAAGTTCTTACAGAACACTCAACCTGAGCATCCCCTCCCTCGCAGTGCTTAATATGTGGCAAATGTCTGTAATATTGTCTTCTCATCCTCTTCCTCTAGGTAAGAAATATATCTGTGAATTTGACAAGACATGCTCTCCATTCCTTCGTGGAGCCTACTTAGCTAGTCTTGTAAAGAACTGGTCAGCATCAAATGGCCCGTGCTTTTATTCAGGATGTCATCTCTATTCCTTGCTCCTTGGTAAGGAGATGCCATGTCATGTTGGGATAGTTTCACGTGTTCCATTTATTTACTCAATATATATATAGATAGAACTCAGTTACTCCACTGCCATTCCTAGATATTTTTAAACAATCCTGTTATTTAGAATGACAAGTGTCTGCTTTCCTGGCTGGTTTTGCTTTCTGATCACACTTGCATGTTGTTTACTGTAGATACTCTGTTACATCGGGAGGTGGTTTTAGCTTCCAGTCAAGTTGGTATCAGACTATGATGGAGACATGTAGCCTCCTTTTTGCTGCACCAAAACACCTTATTTTTCATTATAGCAGCGTAACAGCAGAGACATCCTTCATTCATAAAGACAAAGGATAAAGACACTTAATATTCTGGTAGATTTGATGTGCCAAAGTCTGACATTGTTGATGAAAATAGTTCTTTTTAGTTGCTTAAAGGATGCAGAATCACTGAGGTCTTAAACTCATGAGATATTTCCTTCTTTGACTTCAAAGGCCTACTGTCTTTTTTTGTGCTTTGCCTGGTCTGAGCAACTCAGCTTTAATCTCCTGCATTGGTAAAACAGGGATTTACAAGCATTCCTTGCATTTCAGGGAGAAGAATCTCTAGACATTCTCAAAACATGTTTGGCACACACTGCTAAGACCAGACCTCCTCAAAAATCTCCTGATAACTACTGCCTTTTAAAATCAAGGAGCTGGCATTCTCTTTGAACAGATCACTGGCCCAGGAAGTGAGAGGGCCAACTTCAATTTCTCCCCAAACGTACCCATGTTTAACCAAGTCGTGTAATGCAGTGGAACAGGCTGGTTTGTGGAATAAACTAGATATTCCTATTGTTTTTGCCACATTCTCTGACCTGTGCAGGATGAATCCTTATGGCCCAGGGGATACCTGTGCTGCCTACACATTCACTGTGTGCCTATCGATGCCTCAGGAACGACTGCTGCATAGAAAATACAGACAGTCCTGGCAGCAAAAATTAGATCCTGGAATTTTTGCATCTCATTTTAGTGGTCATACTCATAATTAAAAGCAGTCTGAATTATTTTCTTTTTATCACTGTTAATGCCATGTGTCTTGCTGGCAACACAGGAGCTGTCTATACTCAGATTTGTCTGAAGGAGGAAAATGAAGGAGTTAAAGTTTTGGTTCTTTCATTTGAGAGTACTAGAAATGTCTTCATATGATGATCCCTTCTAATCTTTAGTATCTTCGTTGCCCTTCTAGTCTCTGAGCTCTTTAGGTCAGGGACTAACTTCCTCTGTGCGGTGCCCAGCACAACAATGGCCTCTGGGTGGTACTGCTGCACCTGTGTAAGTGGCTCAAGAAAACATCAGAGTACAAATCACATCGGGAAACTCAATAAATGGTCCTGGGAGTGGTGCCACAGCCAGGGCTTTGGCTTCCTAAGAGTTGCTGGGGGAGGGGATCCTTAATCCATCCCACTGCCACCCCTTTGAACCCAATTTGAGTAAGAGATGTCCTGGGCCTGAAGAAGGATCACAGGCCGGCAGGAGAATGGCTGAAATGGGGGATAATGGAACCCCAGGCAATGAGGCAGCATCAATGGGGGCCCAACTTAAATGCCTCTGTGCAAATGCACACAGCATGGGAAATAAGCAAGAGGAGCTGCAAATGTGTGCAAGCCTGCAGGGCTATGGTGTTAGTGGTATCACTGAGACATGGTGGGACAATTCCCATGACTGGAGGGTGGGAATGGATGGGTATAAGCTCTTTAGGAGGGACAGGTAGGGGAGAAGAGGAGGGGGCATTGACCTCTACATCAATGACCATCTGGAGTCCATGGAGCTCCATATGGGGATGGATGAGGAACTGACAGAGAGTTTATGGGTCAGGGTTAAAGGGAAGACAAGGGTTGATGATATTACAGAGGGAGTCTGCTACAGGCCACCTGACCAGGATGGCCAGATACATGAGGCCCCCTACAGGCTGATAGGTGCTGCTTCCCGTTCCCCGGCCATGATCCTCATGGGGGATTTTTATCACCCTGACATCTGCTGGAGGGACAACACAGCAAAGCACCAGAAATCCAGCAAGTTCCTGGAATGCACTGGTGATAACTTCCTCTTCCAAATGGTAGAGGAACCAAAAAGAAAAGGTGCTATGCTGGACCTTGTTCCCACGAAAAAGGATGGGCTGGTGGACAATGTGAAGCTTAAGGGCAGCCTTGACTGCAGTGAGCATGAAATGCTGGAATTCAGGATCCGTAGGGCAACAAGGGAGGTCCACAGCAAGCTCACTACCTTCAGGAGACTTCAGGACTTCAGGAGAGCAGATTTCAGCCTCTTCAGGGATCTGGTTGGTAGGATATCATGGCATAAAATCCTGGACAGGAAAAGAGCCCAAGAAAGCTCATCATTATCCAAAGATTACCTCCTACAAGCTCAGGAGGACTGCATCCCAAGAAAGAGGAAGGCAGGCAAGAATGCCAGGAGAGCTGCATGGATGAAGAAAAATCTTCTGGGCAGTCTCAGACAAAAAAAGAAACTTCAGTGGGTGGAAGCAGGTAGCCTGGGAGAAAAACAAAGGGTGTGTAGTGATAGGACAAGGGGTAATGGATCAAAACTGGAAGAGAGGAGATTTGGGTTAGACATTAGGAGGAAATTATTTAGTGTGAGGGTGGTGAGACACTGGAACAGGTTGCCCAGGGAGGCTGTAGAAGCCCCATCCCTGGAAGTGTTCAAGGCCAGGTTGGACGGGGCTTTGAGCAACCTGTTCTAGTGGGAGGTGTCCCTGCCCATGCAGGGGGCTTGGAATCTGATGATCTTTGAGGTCCCTTTCAACCTAATCCATTGTATGATTCTATGGTTCTATGATTTCACCTCCTTTTCCAAGCAAGATACTTATAACTTTACTGTATTTCATGGAGGTTTTATAACTGTGTCAGTTATAAATTGACAGCTACAGTCTCATAGCCTGTACCAAGAGTGAGAACCAGTTGGTTTTGCCCATTAAGAATCAATAACTGAGTGTAATCATGCCAAAGCACTTGTCTGAGTCTTGGCATTGCTGTGCAGTCATCAGACAGCTGTTTAGGGAGCTCAGGCAGCTATTGCAATCCAAACAATGAGCAGCCTACATTTTTAAATCACCTACTCAGGAAAACAAAAAGAGAGAAAAATTTCTGGAAAGAAAATGTAAAGTACTTCTGGCATTCAAGCCATTTTTCTAATGGGGAAAAAATAAGTGTTCACATGTCAAAATACCCAAAAGAAGCCGAAAAAGGAGGAAATATCAATTAAAAGACAAAAGCACTATGCAAGGAAGACAGTTAATGACAAGTAGAATCAGTGATTTTGAAAACAAGGGATAGGAATTTAAAAAGTAATAGTGTTGCCATAAATAATGGCAACTTCACTGCAAGATCAATATTCCAGAAAATGTTGATCTATTTCATATCTCCTGGTTCCTCTAGGGATTTTCCTCCCATGAAACCTGGAGTTACATTATCTCTGTGTGTAGTTCTAATCTTGGAATTAAGAATGGAAATCCAGCTAACTGTACTTACAGCATTATAATCCCAAACAGCCAAATATTTAAAATACTTAAATTTGGAACATCTACCAAAATTTATAATTGATAATGCATTTGAACATACTGCTTTTATCTGTTCACCAAAGTAACAGATAAGTAAAAGTAACAGTAAAAAAGTAAAGCCTTTCATAGTAAAATGCCAGTTTTCTCACAACAAAATTCTCCACGGGAGCAAGAGTGCCAGTTTTGACATGAATGACATCTGTGGAAAGCTGAAGGAGAAAAGCAGGGGAGGAGCAGTATTATTCCTGCCTCTTCCACTGTAGTGTGAGACATCTCAGATACTGAGTCAGAGGAGAGCATGTGCTTTGAGAACTCTGCTTTCTGTTGTTTAACTCAGAGCCCACCAGGACTGTTTAAAAACTCATCTGACTTCTAACAGAGAATCAGAATATCCTCCATAGGAACATACGTTCAATAGAAGAATGGAGGCAGGAGGGACTTTGCTTCTCATAAAGAAATTGGAATAAACACAAGGATAAGATCTAAATAAGAATATGCTCTTTTCACAACACCACAGTTCATAGGTCCTTCATCAATCCAGTGAGCATACTCAAGAAATGCCTTTGCTGCACCACATTGCTTCTATTTCCAGATTGTCCTGAAAGAGCTGATTATAGAGCAGCTCTTCTCCATCCTCGAAGATGTCCACACCTTACTGTATACCTGCAGAATGGATAAATGGGACCTCAATCCAGAAAGACTGATAGAACCATCACTGTTGGGACCCAGGAGAACTGGCATGGCAGGAGGAATGATGAAGGTTTTATACTGGTCTGATGATCCATTGCAGGAAAGATCTCAAGTACTCTGCAAGTTACATACTACATGGAAGAGAGGGTCTGGAAAACAAATTTGGATTTAGGTTTTCTAAATGGGCCTAAATTTCCCTCTAGCTATCTTGGCCACCTGTTGAGTCAGTTGTGATGGAGTGGGATATAGATAGTGCAAGCACAAGTGTTTCAGTGCTAGGATTTTTTTTTACATCCCATCTGATGGGAAAAAAGAAATCACAGAAATAAATTACATGGGTGTTTCTAGATACTCAGCAAAGATTTTTGCTTGATCAAACCACACTTGGATGAAAGTTCCCATACTTATGTTTTTGAAACCATTCCCTGTCTGAAAAACACACCCACTTTGACACAAGAAAAACTTTCCAAGTAACTGCAAGCTTGCTCTGCCCTTGTGACATTAATTCAATCATGGTATCAGGGCCGCTCAGATGTGCTGTCTCAAAAAACATATTTACTGCTGGACTGAGGGTTTTTTGCAGTATTTAATTTTTCTTGGGTGTGTCCTATAACCAAAGCTAAGCATCTTGCTGTCTAGTTTCTCAGCCTGATAACTTCAAAACCATTTGACAATATCATAAAGCATTCAGCCTGTGGGCCTATGCTTACTAAACTTTTGCAAACTGTAAAAATCACTTAGTTATCCATATGACAGAGTTGCTAACATCAATAGTAATTTTCTTCCACTTAACTGAAAAGCTTTTCTTGAATCTGCTTCGTCAACTACACGCAGACAGACAAAATTAAAGATGACAGAGATGAAAATTAAAAAAAAAAAAATGGTCAGAATTACTTGAACGCTTCAGTATATTTATGTAATAATGAATTAATAATGACACATTTTTCCTGTGTCAGTGGCCACTCTTCCCTGAAGACAAAACAAGCCGAAATTGGGATTCTTGCCAAAATGTGTGTCCTGGGTTTTTAGCCTCCTGGAGTGAAGCTGTACTTCTGTCATTATGATCTTCAGAATTCTACACTCAAACACACAATCTGCTATTTCAAAACCTTTACCATTATCAGCTCATTTATTAACAACCTTGAACTCCACAACTGCTCCTCAACCTTATTCTTATTAGCTATAATGTTTTGAGAGCCAAATTGTATTATCCGATATACACACACACACAAACTGGAGACAATGCAAATGTTCAAGCTTCTTTGAAACTGTAATTAGTCTTTGTTCTTGGTGCAGACTCATTAGAAAGAAACAACCTATCCAGATTCAAGCCTGATACTTTCTGTCTATAAGGAATGGAAGGGAAGGGGAGGCAAGGAAAGGTAAGTCAAGTCAAGGGAAAGGATTAATGATGGGAATTAATGAAGGGAAAGGAGTAATTGATGACTAAAAAAAAAACAAACAAAAACCAATTAAATTAGAAGTGTCACGTACAGTTCTGTCCTGATGGATCTACAGACTAGAAGTCCTTAAACTTAATGCGCAGAAAATATCTTTAGAAACCATAAGCACTGCTTTTCTGAGGCTTACAGAAAATTATGAGTTGGTGTTTTTTTTATCCTACAGAAAATCTATTATAAAAGTGATCACAATGTACTTCAATTTAGTATCAATTCAATAAGGAAAAAGCCAGGAGGAATCATAGTAGTTTAAAAAAGGAAATAGTAGGAAAAGAAGAAAGCAAATGAACAGGAAATCAGCACCAGCTAGGTTGTGAGTTAAAATGTTTGCAAGAGACACTGAGAATGAAGAATCTATGCTGTAACTTCAGGAAGAGGTTTAACTACTCAAATATTTTGGAACAAATTTCTAAATCTAGCAATAAAAAATCACTAGAACCAGGGAGTATGTATGCAAAAAAGACCCTCTACAGCAGCTGAAGTGTGACATTGTTGGACTTCTCACAAGCATTTACCCTAACAGGCAAAGCAGTACCTATTTGTGTCAAACAAATTGGAAGCATCAGCTGGGTCATTGGTCTTGAAAAAAACAGGAAAGCTGATCTGGAAAAACTACATTTCAGCTAGTCTGATTTTCTATCAAACCAATTTCAACTAATTATATTAAATAACAGAAATAACAGGCATCTGGTTATGTATGACATATTGGAGGAGAGTCCATATAGGTCTTTTAAAGCAAGGTATGTTCCTGATTATGTAAGTGTTTCTGAAGAAGCCAACATGCTTTTGGTTAAGCTGATTTCTTTAACCGAGTGTATTTGGAATTACAAGAAATTTTTGCCACAGTCTTTCCTAAGTTATCACGACGTAAGAAAACACGGAATATTAATAGAAAAGAAACAATGGCTTAGAAAATTCGGTTTTCATTGTGGAGTAAGACAAGAAACAATGGGAGGTTCAGCCTGACTCCTGTGGGGGCAAGGCTACATAAATTAGGGCCTGCCAGCTTGGAAGAAAAGTAACTGAGTTTTATAAAGTCATGAATGACAAAGAAAAGCTGAATAGAGAATGATTAATCATTCTGTCATTCTCAGAAAACCAGAACTAAGGGACAGCCAATTAAATTACTAGGCAGCAGATTTAAAGCAGATAATAGGAAGTAGTTTTTCTTACAATACATAATTAAATTGCAGTGCTAATTGCCACAGGGTGTTGTAGAGTCCTAATGTTTGAATTGTTTAAAGATGGGACTCCGCAAATGTAATATTATTACACATTGGTGGATACTGAAAATAAATTGTCCAGATGTCCTGGTCAAGAGACTTCTGAAAGCTGGAGAAAATCCCTCCGTATTTTTCATTTCAGAGATATTTTCCTTAGGAAGCTACTATCAGCCGTTGTTAAAGACAGAATACTAGATTAGATGGACTTCTGCTGGCATGGCAGTTGCTCTATTTTTCTAAAACTACTTTCACAGTCATTTTTCAGGCTGGAACTGCACTTTAAAATAATCTCACCAGACTTGGAGTTTACTGTCTGTGCTCTGACCTTATTGTAACACCTCTTTTGTATAGCCCAGACCGGATTACTGCAATTAATTTTTTACTGGCTTGCCTGAAAAGCAGGTCCAGCCTGCAGCAATTGCAACATAAAGCAACAGGCTTATTATCAGAGAAGAGCAGATGGGATTTGTAGACTTCCTGTTTCTTTGTTCTCTGCATTGGGAGTCTATTAGTAACTACAATGATTCAGATATTTCTACCATAGGACACCACGTAAAAGTAGCATCCTATAGTAGATGTCTGCTGATTCAGGGCATATAGTTTCTCATGTCCAGGAATAACAGGTTTCATGGGCACATTAGGATGTTTGGAGTAGGTGTTAAACACATTACATCAATGCCTTTAAAAAAGGAATGGAACCATCAAGGCTCCATTGTGGTTTGTAAAGAGCTTATGGAGTTCTGAGTTGATCAAACTCATAAGCTAATGTTGGGATACTGAATGGATCTCATTAATAATTTATAAGTAATGTGATTGGAAGGAGAACAATTTGTGTTTGAAAACCCAAACAATGAGGTCAAATATTTTAATGACTAAGATGTTCAAACCATCTTGGCAGAAGTCTGGCAGGCCAGCATGAAGACCGTGAGATAGTGAGTTCATGGACACACATTGTACCTGCCAGTACCTCTACGTGAAGTTATGTTGTGAGGCACAAATACAGGCTGGGGGAAGAATGGTTGGAGAGCAGTCCTGAGGAGAAGGACTTGGGGGTGGTACGAGATAAGAAGCTTGACATGAGCTGCCAGTGTGTGCTCAGCCCAGAGAGGCTGCATCAAAAGAAGTGTGGCCAGCAGGGCTCTGGTCAGACCCCACCTGGAATTCTGTGCACAGTTCTGGTGCCCTCAGCACAGGAAAGACATGGAGCTGTTGGAGAGGGTCCAGAGAAGGGCCACAAAGGTGATCAAAGGGCTGGAGCACCTCTGCTATGAAGACAGGCTGAGGGAGTTGGGGCTGTTGAGTCTACAGAAAAGAAGGTTCCCTTCCAGTACCTGAGAGGGCCTTCAGGAAAGTTAGGGAGGGGCTTTTCACCAGAGAGGGTAGTGATAGAACAATTGGTAATGGTTTTAAACTGAAAGAGGGTAGATTTAAGTTAGACACCAGGAAGAAATTCTTCACCATGACAGTAGTAAGGCACTGGAACAGGTTTCCCAGGGAGGTTGTGGAAGCCCCCTCCCTGGAGGTGTTTAAAGCCAGGTTGGATGAGGTTTTGTGCAGCCTGGTCTCATGTGAGGTGTCCCTGCTCGTAGCATGGAGGTTGGAACCTGATGATCTTCAAGGCCCTTTTCAACCTTAACCATTCTATGATTCTGTGATCTAATAAACTGTATCTTACGTTTGCTGCTAATCACCTTTTTTATCACTTTACAGTCTTACTGGATTAGCACACGCATTTCTAAGAACTAAGGCTAGTACCACTGTTAGTGATAATAACCTGAGATACATGCCTTTTGCCTAGGGGTAAACACATAGAAACTCAATCCTTATTTTTCTTCTCGGTATAAAGATTACAACTATCCTTACTAGTGAAAACTGGGTTATGTTACTCGCTCTGATGACAAATAAGGGCCTCTCAATATTTTTCCACTTCTTTCTTCCAAAGAGACAGAGGAGACCAAGCAAATACTTTTTGCACTAAGTGCAATTGGCTACAATCTAGTACACTGGGGGCTACATTTATGCTCTTCAGTAATAAAATCAAACATTATCTGGAAGTCAACGCTTTGTGCCCATCTCTACCTTCCTTTCCAGCCATTCCTGTATCACCATTTGTTATTATTCGTGCTCTGTGACTGCTTAAAAACTGAAAAGCAATAGTGCCATTGTCCCGTGCACGTGCAGAAGAAAGTTTCCAGGCTACAAACAAACAGGGAAAACCGTGACAGGCTGGATGATACCCAGGTTGACTTATGCTCTGAGCAGAGAATTGCTGCCTGTGCCTCTGCACGTGAGAAATCTGACACAGCAACGAAGCAGGGTGAAGGCAGAGGTGGCTGCTCCTGCTGCTCTGCTGCCCAAAGCTGATGCTCAGGAAGTGGGTGGTGACCGACTGACAGCTGTTATTAGTGCCTGGCCCAGCAACCCACAAGCTTCCTGGATACCTGTTCCCAATTTCACCTCGGAGCTCTGGGAGACTTCAGGAACACAGG